GAGCAGGGAGCCCGATGCGGGACTCGATCCCGGGACTCCAGGATCATGACCTGAGCCGAAGGCAGTCGCTTAACCAACTGAGCCACCCAGGCGCCCCGACTGATTGTATTTTAAATGCCTTCCCTGTTTCTTCTTCCAGTAGAAAGACCTCTCATGCTTAACAATCATCAACACTTCCTTAGCAGTCTTCTGTGAAGGGACTCCAAACCTACAATGACCTTCTCTGAATTTCCGCCAAAATTACAGTCAGTTCACACACTCATCAAGGAGCACTTTGATCAGCAATCCAGTACTGAATTCCTGCTTGCCCCACTGACTGCTTAGCTGCACCTCCGCTGTTCTGAACTGAGCCACCATGTTTGATAAGTGTCTCTTTTATTTTCCACAGAACCCTTCAACATGTACTGATCAACCTAACCCGGCCAGCGTTTCGACTTCTAAAATCTAAAACTCCTCCTGGTGCAATTCACTCTCTGTGGAGCTTGGCAGGGCATCCCAGACACCCTGACATAGCAATCTGCTCTCTCATCATGGCTGTGGCCCCACCTCTGGAATATACTGTCATAGCTCCTTACCTGGATTAAAAACTGGAAACCAGTGGTAGAATTCGTTCTTGTAGGGAACGGTGTCAAACTCACTGCACTGCATCTGCCGGAAGGTGGGCGTGTCCGGGCGGCAGGGGTGGACGTTGCACAAACGATAGCGCTTCCTTTCCCCGGTGCAGTACTTCCCGCCAAACTTGGGTCTACGCAGGAAACAGACAAGCTGTTCATTTCCTTTCCTTAGAGGCTACCATTTTTCCTTCAACATTCCTTGCCATCTGGTCACGCCTGTTCTTCGCCAAACCACGCCCTGCTCTACCCTCAAAACTCACCTTTTACCTAAATTCTTACAATTTTATACATTTTTTGGCTGTTGCTGTTGCCCACGACCATTCAGGCCCAGGTCTATAGTGGCCTAATTTGAAACAGCGTGTGTATCTTTTCTGCTTGTATATCTTCCCAGCCTCTCAAACTCAAAATATACGCCGAGAAGGGATACATCATTTTCCCTCCAAAATCCGCTCCTTCTCTAATTCCTGTTTAGCAAGTTAAAAGTGGTCAGACTGCAGAAGCCTCCATCCTTTGCCTTCCTTTGACCCCATTGTCCATCAGCTGCCCGATCATCAGTCATGTCTTTGCATTTGTTTCCTCCTCCTCATTCCCACAATCACCAAACTAGTCTAATCCTTCTCTCTCCTCCTGTCTCCCCTCTGCCCATCTTTGCCCTCATTCAATCTAGTCTATGCACATCTGGCTAATTTTTATGATTACCTTAATTACTTTAGTTTCTTGTTTAAAAACCTTTCATGGCACCCAATGACCACAGAACTGAGTTCAGCCTCTTCAGCTTAATATTCAAGGCCCTCATGATCCTGACTTAATTCATCCTAACAACCACTTCCTACCAATGCTTTCAGGACCTAGAATAATGCTATATCTCCATTATGAACTCTTCCTGGATTTCTGCCAGAAATAAACACTTTCTCTTTTTCAATGACACCTGATTGTACCTACTAGATGCACTTCCTGTACTTATCACTCCAAAACACAGTTCACTGATGATCCAATCCAAGCTCTATGTCATCTATGGTCTCTAAGTCATACTTTGAGTACAGAAGGCTCTTAATAAACATTCAGTCAATAAATAAGCTAATCTTATTTTAGAATAATCCTTCTCAACCTTTTATTTCCTTTGCAATACACACAAGGGCAATAGCAACCTTCCCATCAGGATCAATTATTCACTCAAAAAGGGAGGAGGAAATATAGCAGAACTGCTGTCACAGAAGAGGAGGAACTCTCTGTCCTTTAACAAAGCTCCAAGCAATCTATGTATGTCTTCTTGTCTCCACCTTGCTGCATCTGAAATCAGGAATTGGGTCTACTTTTGCAATGCAGCATAATGGGCTCAAAAAGCTTAGGGTTTGAATTCTGCTTTACTTTGTATTATTAGTTAGATGATTTTGAACAAGTTATCTTATTTCTCTGGGCCACAATTTTTTTTTATTTGTGAAATGAGCATAATAGTTCTTATCTCACAAGATGGGAGGACTAAACGAGACAATGCATAAAGATTTAGTAGAGTAGCTAACACAGGGTAAGAGTTCAGTAAATGACAGCATTGTTGGATTATTGTAAATAATAATCAACAAGTATTTATACAATGTACTCAACATCATTTCCAGGGAGGACAGAGTCCAAAAAAAGGTCAACCCATGCCCTGTGTCTCCTAGAAGCTTATAATCTTGAGGAGAAAAAAAAATCATCTGTATAATAAATAAGAGAAAATTTAAGAGCAATTATGTATCCCTGACTGTAAGTACAATGTGAGTTTGAAGAAGGAAGAGAATAGTGGCAGTCAGGCTGATTGGAAAGAACTCATGGAACTGTCCTGGAGAATGGCCTTAAAGGATGGATGGAAGTGGCTTCTCAGTGCAAAGGCAGAAAGCATGCAAGTGAGCAGCCTAAATGAAATAATATTCTAAAGGCACGGGAAAGTAGGACATCTTCCCAAAGTGCCCAGCTGACAGAGAGCCAAGATTTAAACCCTTATCTGCTTTAATCCATAGCCTGAGCGCTCATCCACTGTTTTATTGTGTGACCATACAATCTAGGGGGACAGAGACCTCAAACCTTGGCAGTCGGGTTCATTTCTGGTTGCAGTTGTACTTCTCGTGAGGTTCTGCTATACTTTGCTCTCCTTGAACACCTATGAGATTTTTCTATACTTCCCTCCCTCCCTTTCTCAATGTGGCTTGAATAGGCTTCTGTTCCTCGAACATAAAAGAGCTTTGACCAAGACAGTTCACTTTCACTGACTCCATGTAAAAGGTAGTAAGAATTGTCCATGATATCTGAGGTTAGATCGGTTTTCTATTCATGATGATAGAGTGACACTCTATGACTCAGCACCTCTCCAGTTCATTTCCATCCAACAAACATCACTGAAAGCCTTTTACAAGCCCTGCTGGCTTCTCACTAGACACCTGACCAACATCAAGGGTAGAGTCTCAATGTCAGCTGATCATGCACTGGCCTGAATCTATAACCTGAAGCACACAACTGAATCTGAGGCTGTTTTTCCATTGTCATTGTTTTCAACAAACTTAAGCAAACCAGCTATGGAGATCAGACTTGGTCACTCACCTGAGAAGACTCTATGACAAACTGTGGTCTCTAAGATGGGTGTTAGAACCATTTTTCTCATGAGGCCAAGTTAGAGATTCATCCTACAGTTCCTCAACAAAGATGTCCCTTTCTGACCACCACAGATTACTGACCATCCTCCCGAGAGGCTGTAGACAGTGGTGACTGAATACAGAGCACTAACAATAGGTCCCAGAGCAAATCGCCTACATTTCCTGATCTCTAAAATGGAAATCATATTTCTTATCACATGGAAATAACCCATAAAATGAAGATTTTCTGCAAAAATAAGAAATCCCTGGCTTCTAATTTTTGAAGCCACAGAAATCTTGTATTTAAACAAAAGCAACTTTTATCAAAGAGTAAGATTTAAAAACAATTTCATCCAAATTCCTCAAAGGTACACTTATATGTGTGGTAAATGAGAAAAGATATAATAACTACTATAATACCTACCATTTATTGACAATTTAATGTAGTAGGTATTGTGTTAAACTCTTTATATATATTAATTTAATCTTTAGGAGAAATTTATTATGTATTTTTATTAAATATATATAGTGTATGTGTATATATACATGCACACATATATACATATAGTAATATATTTATTAATAAAAAGGAGGAGTAATATTTGGAACTGAGATACTGAGGAGATTGTAATCACATTTATCATTTGCCTATAAAAAGAAAAAGAGACTCTTACTCTTCAGTGCAGACTAATGAAAATCTAAGCAAAAGAAGCTTAACATATTTTCTACTTACCAGAGGCATCATATGTACACTTCTTAAAAATTTTACTTGGGAACTCATATACCAGGAAATAATGAAGTTAAGAATGTCATATATATTTGGGGGGCACTGGGTGGTTCAGTCAGTTAAGCGTCTGCCTTCAGCTCAGGTCATGATCCTAGGGTTCTGGGATCAAACCCCACATCAGGCTCCCTGCTCAGCGGGGAGTCTGCTTCTCCCTCTCCATCTCCCTCTCCCTCTGCTCATGCTCTCTCTCACTCTCTGTCTCTCTCAAATAAATAAATAAAATCTTTTTTCTAAAATATGAATGTCATATATATTTGGAAAGCAAGGGAATTTAAATTTAATTCATATATAGTAGCATCATACAAATTTAAAATAATGAAAAACTTAAGCACTTTGATTAAAAAATTGAAAGCCGCTTTGTGAAATAACTTCTATGGAACCTTTAATATGGCTAATATGGAAGCTTAAGGCTCATAAAATCCTTATCTAAAACATTCAAAATAATTATCCTCAAAAATGTACTATTTTATTAGTTACTTAAGGGAAGAAAATTATTTTTATAAAATTAAACGTTCATTATGATTGAAAGAAAGCTACAGTCTTAGGAGCAAAATTGAGTATTAAGTAATCTCTCACTGACGGAGTGATGTTATCTAGAAGGATTTCACTGCATAGTCTCCTAAGACCTTTCACATAGACTATACTCTTGCAAATTTGCTTATTTCTCCAAATGATGGAATCAGCTTACTTACCCAAGTTCTAGTAAGCATCCAGTGCCACACCAAAACGAAACAAAACAGAACCATGTTTTTAAGAATCTTCTGGTTCCCTTTAGTCTTTAGGAGCCCACTGAATTTCTCCTAGGAGGCTTGGGCTCGCTGGCATCACGTTATCCAAGATTGGTCTCTGGCGCTCGTGGAAGGAAGGGAAATGGTTTTGGCCAGACTTACTCAGGATTGTTGCAGAGCCTCTCTGCACTCTGGGCTCCGGCCCCACAGGTCCTGGAACAGTGGGACCAGGGTGACCAGCGGCCCCAGCCCCCAGGAATGCTCTCTGGTTTCTTCCCCACTGTGATACACTTGCCAGCCATACACCACTAGAGAGGGAAGAGGCAGGAGATGCATACGTCATGAAGGTTCCCATAGCAAGCTGAGCCAAGAACCCCAGAAGTCTAAACCCAATTCTCCCAGAGCAAACAGCCTTCCTATGGTCACACAGCATATGGAGAACAAAGAAGGGCTTACAAAAAAATGTCCCCCAAGAGTCTTGGGTTTTAGAATCAGACAATGTCAGGGACCGAAGGGATCTTTATGCTGCCTTGTTGCAGTCAGCCAATTCGGTGAGGTTGGCAGAAGGCATGCCAGAAGGTAAATCCACACACCGCTTCCTTCACTGAGAGTCTTCCTATGACATGCACGGCGGCTCAGTCTGCTTAGTAACACAGTTGTTTTGTAATGTAATTGATTTACTTTTTGCTGCAAGCTCCTTATCTTGCTGCAGACCATAAACAAACATTTTGCAGACTGACATTGAGATAACATTTCTCTGTAGCCTCTGTGGGTATCTCATGTCTGCAGCAGATACCTCATCCTCTTGCAGAAAGTCCACTCATTGCCAAAAAACACTAGTTGAAGTTCTTTCTAATATCGAGAACAATTTTTGCTTCCCTGTTAACTCTATCTGTTGTTTGCAGTTCTAGCTGTGGCTCAGAAAAAATTCCTCTCTCTTCAAGGCCATCCTCCCACAACTGTTCAGTTTAAGAAGGCGAACATACAAAAAAGAAAGAAAAGAAAATGCAACTTGGTTGTTTGAGGATTTGGGCATGTTTTCTCTGCTGGCCTCCTTTTCCTCATTATTTCTGGTCACTGTGTATTGTGACCAAGTTCTATAATCTTGGTGATGGATCATGCCACTCTTAAGCTGCATAAAAATACACATTAAATGTCTGGATCTTAGGCTCACAACAAACTCAACTGGTCTTGTTGAGCAGCACACATGACCCTGCTCTCAAGCAGTCTGCAGGATTTCTATCATCTGAATTCTTGGGTGTCTGGCTTTCCTCTTCAGTTAAATGGGCAGAATTTCAAGAAATGTAGTCCGATCAGATGATGAGAATGAAGATAACAAGTGGCTCAAATGCAGCATCTTTGGAAGGCAGAAGCCACTGGCTTGCCTTTTCAGTTTTTAACATGGAGAGGGGAAGAAGTCAAAATGAAGGGTGATAATAAGCTCAGCAGATGTTATTGGCCATAAAATCTGCAGACGTTCATCAAGAAAAGATGGGACAGATGTTTTGCAAGTGAAGTGTGGGACTGGGCCTCAGCCCTCTCTCCTTCACTGTTTCCGATGAAAGCTCAAAAGGCGTCATGGAAATAGAATCCTTCTCCCTGGCTAGTCTGATTGTGTGACCTCCATTCACACAGACAGCTGCTCTCCAGGGCCCTCTCCCTGTTCCTCCCAAGAACCCTGGGCCCACCCCACTCCCACCTTCCTTCCTCAGCCCAACACGTCACCTTCTTCTCACCACATCGTGTCCCATCTGCAGCGGCATCCAGCTTAGAGCGACAAAAGCCTTTCACTGAGCACCACAGGGTCTGACAGACATTCTGGAAAACAAGTGTGAAACTGTACTCTTTGGGATTTTCAACACTTGCACAAAAGCATTTCTACAAGGATGGTGAAATATACACTCGGTCACCCACAGACTCACAATGATGCTGCTGTTGGCAGTGAGCAAGAGTGAGAAAAAGGGCTCATTCAAGAACTCTCAATTCAAACTTAATTTGGGCTTTGTCATCATTCATACACAGTGGTATGGTCTACTAAGCAATAAGAAAATAGAAGATAAAACGCATTTCCTAGGAATGGAGACTAATTTCTGTATGGGTGACACAGCATCACTGACCTCAGGCAGGGTAACTGGTGACAGCAACCATCAAGGGCCAAAGCAAACTATGCACAAAGGACTCTGATTACAAACAGTTGGGCGGTTATAACTTGAGCCTGCTCACTGAAGGAAACGGAAACTATTCGACTTAGACAGCCTAAGCTTATTTACTTATGACTCAGGTAGCCAGCTTGTTTTATCTGCCAGGGAGTGAAACGGGTCTTCCCTATTGTTTCTCCTCCTACAGTAGGAACAAGGGAAAGTTGACAAGATTCTTACATATCATCAGAAATGGCTCCGCTGCTCCTATCCACCTTTTAGTCTTTCTTCTATCCACCCATCATCCATCATTCCATCTATTTAACTATGTTCTAGATTCAATGTTTTTTAAAATAAGATTTCATATCTTTACACAATTTTAGAGAATTCTCAATCTTGATCTAAGTTTTGCCTCTCCCTGATTACTGCTGTTCTCTCCTGGAACTCTTAACTGTTGCTCATGAGCCTTCCCATTCTGTCCTTCACATCTCAACTTCACTTTTATATTTTTGAACTGTCCATTTTCTTGTATATAGAAGTTGAAAAAGTCTGGTTTTCCATCATGCAACTCTGGGAAATACTCAAGTGAGATGGGAGGTAATTTTCTCAACTCTAAATTCCAGCTGATTGATTTTCTCTTCAACTGTGTCAAGTCTGCTGTCTAATCCAAACACTGAATTTAAAATCAGTGACCATATTTTTCATTTCTAGAGGCTGTAACTGTTTTTCATATATACCTTACAAATATCTTCTAGTGTATTTTTCCTTTTCTCAAATGTAACTCTTCTTTTATGCATTCATTTTATTATCCTTACCTAAAATATTCACTTATCCTAAGTCATTGATGGTTTATCTCTCTTCACTTAGCTGTAGATTGTTTTAAATTTTGAATTAGAAGACGAATGATGAATTCATCTAATCAGAAGCTTTATCTATTAGAGATTTTTCTGCATCTTAGCTGAGCATTGGTTTCTCCAAGGCAGGTTTTTAATCTTTGTTTCTACCAGGTGTCCCATGGTTTTACCAGGTCAGAAATATGTTTATCTTAAATTTTTTTGGCATAAGGGTTCTCTGTTTCAGGATTTCTTTTCCTTTAGTGCCTACAGTTCTCGGTTTACGCCACTTCAAAGAATGAAGAGGTAGATCAGGCGAAGAGTGGTGGACAGCAGAACAAAGTTTATTGGGGATAGTACAAAGCTCCCGAAGAGGGAGGGGAGCAGAGAGGGTTGGCATTTTGGCGTTTAAATCTAGGGGTTTTTATGAGATTGTTGGCGGGCTGTCTTCATCTGATTAACCTTCCATGGGCCTGTCACCCAACCAGGTTTTTGTCTACACGCTCATCTACTTCTCAGGTAGTTGTTCACGTGGGAAAGGGTAGAGGTCTCCTTTCAGGGTGGTGGACAATAACAACATGAGGTCTTTTTCCTTTTAATGGTAGTTTCCCCTGGGGGAGAGGGGTGGGCCTTGCCCATCTGCCTTTCTTCCAACTATCCTCCATTACAACCACACGAGAGTATAAATTTGAACTCAAAATCAGTGAGGCTGGCCTGTGGTCAAGTATTTGCTAGTGAGAAAGTTATCTACCAGCATCCCTCCCCCTCAAAACCCAAGCTGAGATAAAAGATGCTTCTCTGCCATCTTTACCTTTGTTGCCAATGAGTTCTTCTAGCTCCCCTCTCCTCAAGTCCCCCAGCTTTGTGTAAGGGTCTCACTTCCAACTCCCTGCCTTGCTCCAGGGGTGCATGTCATCATTTGTTGCCACTGGATGTTAAAATTAAGGCTCTCTGGTTTTCTCCCCGTCAGCCTCAACGTGCTTATCACTCCCTTCTTTAGTTTTTTTCCCCCCTGAGGATTTTTTTTAAACCTTCTTATAATTTCATTATGCATTTATAAAGAATGATGTGCTAGGTAAAGGGTACACAAACACTGTACTGTTTTTCCAACTTTTTTGAGTTGTAAACTGTTTCAAGATAAAAAAAAGGCTCTAATAAAGAAGGTTAATATTGTATTCTCTGATATTTTAGGTTTTTTTTTCTTTACTGAAAAGAATTAGGTTATCTTGGCTGCAATATGCAGGAATCTGAAGTCTTCATTCATTTATCTCAAGTCTTCGCTCTACTTATCTATGTGCCAGGCCCTGCTGAATGTCAGGAATGAAAGGTTCCCTCAGAGTGAGGTGAGGGCACAGATAAATAGAAAGCAACTATAATATCATCTAATAAAGTCTTTGTCCAAGAAAACGCAGAATAGAATGCAAAATGATGTTTAAGCTGAGCTCCAAATGATGAATAGGAGGGATGGTGCAGAGGAACCAGAGCATACAGAGCTCAGGAGGTGGTGGAGAACCCACAGTACTTTTAGGGATTGAGGCTGTTCAATACATGGATAAACACAGAGCATGAAACAGTAATTGACCAGAGGTAATCAGGGTGATCTGTGTCCAGTAAACCACAGGATACCCTGGAAAATCCTTACCTTTGTAAAACATCTAAAATTGTGGGTAGAAATATTTTAAATGCATTCCTGAGTTGGCAAGAAGGTAAGAGAAATCCTCAGAGGCTAAAAATGTAGCAAAAATGTTGGAGATCTAGAGATACAAACCTGGTCACTTAGACTTTAGTTTTAATGGTCACCTGAGTACTGGAGACAATGACCTGGGCCTGAGTAGCATGGAAAGTTGGACTGGAGACCTCATAAAGACTGTAACCCCAAAGGACTAGCCCTGTGTGAAATGGTGAACTAAGAGAAACCTGGGGACACAGCTGGGAAACGTGTCTGTTTTGATTTTAACTCTAGAAGGCGTGGTAAATGTTACCCCTGAGAGTTTGTACCCATGTTGGCCCTCACACAACTCTTGTAGTCAAACAACATCTAACCAATAATTTATTTTAACTGACCCCAAATTCTTTCTGGAAGAATGTGCCAGCCATCTCAGCCTTAAAGAATAACTTGAAAGGAAGTTTCACAACCAACAGCTTACAATAAAAACAAAAATCAAGATAAGGAAATCATCTATAATAAGAGAGACCTACAAAAAAATCCCAAATAGGACAGTTCCACATAGACTTAGGATTCTGGAATTATGCAACATAAATTGCAAAATAAATGTCTCAAATATAAATAAAAAATAAAAGATCATATTGAAAATCTGAATTAGAAACAAGAAACCATAACAGAGAAAAATTAGAAAAATAACCAAATAAACTGTCAAAAGTAAAAAAACAAAACAAAACATAAATAAGATTAAGAAGTCAACAGACAGCTTAAATAGAGGAGTAGTTATACCTAAAGAGAGACCTAGTGAGTCAAAAGATAAATAAATTACACAAAATGCAGAAATATAAAGGGACAAAAAATATGAAGGTGAGGTCCCAAAATATGGAAGATTAGTGATAAAGACCAACATACACGCAGGTAGAACTCTGGGTTACAGAATGGAGGATTAAAACAGTATTTTAAGAGATAAGGCCAGAGAACAAGAGATGAGATGAATCCTGAGGCCCCTTTTAAGCCATTTTAGAGAATGTAAACTTCATCGTAGGGAATGGGGTGACTGAAATATTTTAATCAGAGAGGAACACAATCCAGTTTCCATTTACAAAGGTCACTTTGGTTGCATTTGGGGGATGGATCAGAGTTGAGAGAAGTAGTCAAACTCCAGGAAAGGAGAGCAGTGGGAGAATTATTGCAGTCACCTATGATTTGGTGGATTTTAGAGATATTCAGGAGGTAGAATTGGCATAACTTGGGAACGAGTTAGGAGGGAGGGGTCAGGAGTTTTTGCACCAACTTGACCTTCTCTACTAAGTCTTGCTCATTGTGTTTAAGCACAGTTACTCACTGCCTCCTCAAAAGGTCTTTCTACATGTCTTTTTGTGTATTGATCTCACTGTATTGAAATTGTTCTGTCTGCCTCCTCCACCAGACCACAAGCTCCTCAAGGTCAGACAACTTATCTTACTAATTTCTGAGGGCTAATCTTTTTCATCTCACTCAGTACACGGCACCAAATCTGGGAGGGGTTCAATGGGTCTTGCCTCGCCCATGTCTATGTGTTAACACTGGCACCTTCACTCTGAAAGGGATGCATTCAGAGAATAGGCCAGACTCAGATCACAAAGGAATGCCACACAAAGGAGTTGGGACTTCATCCTGTGGTCAGTGGACCCTAAGAGCGGAGCAGAGCTGTGGTTAGATCTGTGTTGTTTTGAAATAACCTGAGCAACAATTTGAATGGGGGGAGACTAGGTAATTACAATCGCCAAGGAGAGAAAATGAGAGACTGAATCAAGACAGGACAGTGGGAATGAAGACAACAGGGCAGAGCCACAAACTCTTTGGGAGGTTAAATGTCAGGGCTTGACTTAACATTTGGATATTGAGGGGTGCCTGGGTGACTCAGTCAGTTAGGCATCTGACTCTTGATTTCAGCTTGGGCTGCAATCTCAGGGTGGTGGAATTGAGCCCCACATTGGGCTCCATGCTCAGCAGAATCTGCTTATCCCTCTTCCTCTGCTCCCCCCTTCTCTCTCTCAATCTCAAATAATAAATAGACAAAATCTTTTTTAAAAATTTGGATTTTAAAAATTAAGGAGAAGAATGAATTGGGATGAATCTTATTCCTACTTTGGGATCTGGGGGTTCTCTACAACCAGATGAAAATTCAGGAAAGGGAGCAACTTTAGGTTACTATGGAGTCTACAGGTGTGGATCACTGTGATTCCTGAAAATCACTATAAAATGTTCTTCACCACTTGCAAAGGATTGCTGTCTCCACAGAATACCAAGGAGGCACGGTCAAGGAATGTAAATGACTCCAACTTCACACCTTCTGTCTTACAAACACCTTGCCATGAATAGAAGGTTTCTATTTCTGTGTCTGGTTCTTTGGATTACCAAATATTTCCCTGATCCCTCCTTCAGCATGCTAGAGATCTCAAGCCTGGTACACACCCACCAGAGGCACCAAGATACCCAACACTTACTTCTACTTCCTGGCAGAAGGTGGCATTGGGGCCATACTGCAGTTGGCATTGATGGTGGACATCATAGATCACTCCAGGGGCAATGACCTTGGACTTCAAGCCTTTCTTTTGGGGGATGTCATCAAGACAAAACCCCCAGCCCCGGCTGAAAACAAGTTATCAGAAAGGAGAACAGTTGCTTATGATTTCCTTTGTCTTTAGTGTTTTATTCAACAGAAACCTCTATCCCTGTGGTTTACTCTTTGTCCTTCAAAACAACTTTATTTCCACAAGGCACAGAACCCTCCAGGCACAAGATATAGGAATGGCCTAAAAGGAAATTAAATCATACCCCACACTGTTACTTCAGCTGTGAGCCAGGAAATACAAGCGGGAGAGTAAAATAACATCATCAGAGGGGTTTCAGAGACCACTCGAAACATATCCCAGCTGTTCCTGCCAGTGCCCGGGGACTTACACACTCAGATCATAAAGAGCCTCCCTGAGCGGGAGCAAGCAAGGGGACGGCACGTTCACCTGGTGTGGTGGGAAGGCAGGACCCACCTACATCTCAGGGGCAGAAAGCAGAAGTGAAATCCCCCCTTCTGATGCCACCTGATCCGATGATCTGTGAGAGGAATGGAGACTTTTCCAGGCCTCAGGTAAAACTCCAATGGACTTCCAGTTTCAAGAGCGCCAAGTCAGGCCGTCCTGAAACGTGCTGTCACTTACTCCAGGAAGCGGGTGATGTACTCCTTGCTGCACTTGGACCACGTCAGTGGGGTGGGGTTGTACTGGAGCTGGCGGGACATGATGTATGGGTGCCTGCCCACGGGCTCACAGTCATTCTCCTTCCCGTCATGCTGGATGCCAAAGCTGCAGGAGGGCACAAAACACAAGAGTATTAAGGAGGCAGGGGCATGAAACAGGGAGAAAACTATAGTCTCTCCAAGGTGAAAATTACCCACCGAGAGCCACTTTTGTGCAGAATGCACCTGTTTACAAAGTGGGACTCCGAAGCTGGAGAGGGATAACTAATTTTGAACTAAAAAGCACAGGAAACATTTTAAGCCTATGCAACCATGGGAACCATGCAGCTAATTCAAAAACTTCTGTTTGGCTGAGAGCTCGCAGTTCAGCTTTCTAGGAGTCTGGAGGAAGGAGGGCAAATCCTGCCTCAAGCCATCTTCTTCCTCCGGCTTCAGCGACCACAGCACCAAACACCCAAACCTTCCTTCTCCCTTTCATTATCATGTAAGGAAGGGCATGGAAAGGACAGCCTATGAGAGACTTTGTCAAAGGCCACAAGCTTTGAGTGACTGAGTTTCTTTTGAGTATTGTCACAGGAGTCCCCCAGGATCGGATGCATTAGGGACGCCTCCCGGGTCAGTGGTCAGAGCAGGGGTTTCACAGACAGATGATCTGGAGGGTACCAACTCCACCACTTAATGATCTGGGAGCTCCACTTCTGGAAAATGCAGAGATCATCACAATGCTGGGGTCAGATCTGAATGGAAGAGTCTGAAAACCACTTAGCGAAGGCCTGGCATATAACAAGGGCCCTTGAATAATGGAAATCCTTTATTGCTGTTTTGATCCTTGTCTAGCTTCTTCTAAAACATCACAGAGCTCGTGAGTGGTAAAACCAGGTCCTCTGCTCGATCAGCGTTCTTACCCACGTCTTGCTCGCCCTGCTCCCTGGCCTCCCCCTGCCAGAGCTGACCAGGTGAAGCAGCCCTGAACACCCCGACAGAGCTCACCCACCATGGCAAGGGGTGTTGGGGAAGGAAGCGGACTCAGAAATGTCCATTTATAAGCTGAGTCCTCAGGATCGCCCCAAGATCGCCTCGCCTGCAGAGGTCCCCACAAGAACTCTCTTCACTGGGATCTGCTGACGGCACACTTGTATGCCAGCCTGTTGGCTCAAATTTCCAAATCTGAACAGAGGGGAAGTATGACCTTTTACTCTGCTAGTGAAATTCAACCCCTCTGACAGGGAAGCTCATATGTAACTTTAATAAAATCTCCTGATCCACATTAGCAACTCTTACAGAGAATAGTCTTGGGGGGATTTAAAGGTTTCTTGTATTTTGCTTAATGCATTATGATGTTATCGACTTACTTCCAGACTCTGATCACATTCCGCGTAAGTACAAAATTCACAAAGGAATCAGAGAATTAATCTACAAAACTCTTCTCACTCAGCCGCAACGAATGTGACTCAATGAAAGCTTTTATTCTAAGCAGGCCTTCCCTAGGCTGTTTCATATCCATTCTTACCCAGCTCATGAAGTATTCTACAAGTTCACCTGCTCAATAATTAGTAAAAACCCTAAACTGTAAGCGTGGTTCAAAAATATGCCTGAATAATGGTTTTTCTAGCAATGGATAGTCTAATGCAAGAACCGTACAGCTGCATCCTACACACTGGGTGGATTCAAACCTACGTTCAAAACATGTCAGTTCCCTTAAAGCTCATTTTGTTCTATCTGAAGGTTTTTTTTTAAGATTTATTTATTTATTTGAGCGAGAGAGTGTGTGTGTGCACAGGGTGGGGGGCAGAGGGAGACAGCGAGAGAGAGAATCTCAAGCAGACTCCCCACTGAGCATGGAGCCTGATCTCATGACCCTGAGATCATGACCTGAGCCGAAATAGAGTCAAAAGCTTAACCAACTGAGCCACCCAGGGGCCCCTGTTCTATCTAAAGTTTTTAATTCACTAAAGGATTTCCCCCTCCAGCTTTGTCACCCCTCTGTACCCCCATGTTATGAGAGAAAAGCAGTGCTACTAACAACAAATGTCCCTCTGGGCTGTGTCTACCATGTCTAAATGCATGGGGTGCTCCTGTCCCATGAGCATAGTGGGCCAGTGAAAGCACATGGGGTCCTAGGGCTGGAGGGTTTGTTTCCAGGAAGCTCCTTGCCAGCAGACGGGATGGAAGCTGAAGAGCAGCTGGCTGTATGGAGCCCTCTACAATCTCAAACAACTTACTGGGCTGCTGGGGTCATCTGCTTTACCTCGTGTTTGGCTTTCAACTCCTATGAGATGAGTTTGCCCAAGTATAGATGTGAAACAGCAAGTTAATTATCTGGGTTTCAGGGTATCATTTGATGAATATTCCTTGCCTTTTATTATTCATTTTTTTTATTTGAGTATAGGTGACACAGTGTTACCTTAGTTTCAGGTGTACAACTTAGTGATTTGACAAGTTTATACGTTAGGCTCCGTTCATTGTAGGTTTAGCTACCATCCATCCAGTTACATCACTATTACAATATCATTGACTGTATTCCTTATGCTATACCTTTCATTCCTGTGACCTGTGATTCATGTTATGGTGGAGAGGTAATAGCAGAGGACAAAAACCATGAAAAGTGTGATTGTGTGCTTTTCAAGCTCATTTAGGAAATACCAATTTCATATATGTAACATGCAAAGGTCTCTAATGAAATCCAGAAGCAGGAGAGAAATACTGGGTGAATATTGCCTTTTAAGTGTTCATCTATATCGTGATATTTTCATTACTTAAAAGGAAAGGATGCTAGGTCTCAGATAAGTTTTTAAATTTCCTCCTAGAATTCTACCTTCATTTTTGGTAATGTACCTATGGAACCTAATAAAAAGGTAGTAAGAGACCTCAGGAATAAATGACTGATATAATCCGGGGTCCTCATAAATGGATTTTCAAAAAGTTTTCTCTCAAAAATGAAATTATTCACATAAGGCCATAGCACAAGGTAATTAATTTTACTTTCTATTTTGCATCACACATAATCAGTAATGGAACAAAACATGTTTCCAAGAAACAACAGGGTATCTATGTTATTAAACTATAATGAGTGTCTTTGGGGATACTGGTTTATCACAGTTTTGTTTTTTCTTGACCTGCTGCTGGCCATTTCATTGATCTTCCCAGTTTCTCAGTTTGGTTCAAGATAATTGGAGCTATATAGCTAAAGAAAGAACTAAATACCTCAGAAGTATCTTTTGCCAAAAGCAAAAGTTTCTTAGAAGCTCCTAAAGTCTTCTCTGGTTTGGTTTGTGTTTTACTAAAGCATTTTTTTCCATCATTCAAACTCAAGCTTATGTGTTCTTTCAACTTTCTCTTTAACAGTGACTCTAAACTTTTTTTTTTTTTGCCAATTAAAAGACAGTGTTTTAATGCAAATCAAAAGTACCATGAGATATCACCTCACTCCTGTCAGAATGGCTAAAATCAAAAAAAAAAAAAAAGAAAGAAAAAGAAATAACAAGTGGTGAGAATGTAGGGAAAAAGGAACCCTCATGCACATAAATCAGTACAGCCTCTGTGGAAAACAGCATGGAGGTTCTTCAAAAACTTAAAAAGAGAAATACCATATGATTCAGTAATTCCCCTACTGGGTATTTACCCAAAGGAAATGAAAACACTAATTCAAAAAAGATATATGTCCCCCATATTTACTGCAGCATTATTTACCATAGTCAAGATATGGAAGCAACCTAAGTGTCCATCAATTGATGAATGGATGAAGAAGACGTGGTGTGTGTGTGTGTGTGTGTGTGTGTGTATTATTATTACTCAGCCATAAAAAGAATGAGATCATGCCATTTGCAACAACATGGATGGACTAGGGGGCATTATGCTAAGTGAAATAAGCCAGACAAATACCATATGATTTCACTCATATGTAGAAACTAAAAAAGCAAATGAGTAAACAGACAAAAAGCAAAATCAGATGTGTAAATACAGAGAACAAACTGGCGGTTGCCAGAGGGGTGGGGGTGGTCAAAATGGGCAAAGGGGAGTGGCAGATACAGGCTTCCAGTTACGGAATGAATAAGCCATGGGAATAAAAGGCACAACACCAGAATATAGTCAATGATAGTGTGATAGGGTTGTGTGGTGACAGACACACTACACTTGTGAGCACAGCATAACTTACAGAGAAGTTGAATCACTATATTGTATATCTGAAACTATATTGTATACCTGGAAAATGTAACATTGTGTGTCACCTATACTCAAAAAAATTTTAGTAGAAAAAATAAATGACGGTATTTTATTAGGTCATCTTTACATGGCCCATGTAGTAGTTACAGGTTTACTGTTTAAAAAACTGACAACCTGTTCTCTATAGAGCCTAAACCATCTTACTTTCTCATCAGCAATGTATGAATGATCCAGCTCCTCTGCAACCTTGTCAGCATTTGGTGTCACCACTATTTTTTTAGTTATTCTGATTGGTGTGTAGCAATATCTCATTGTGGTCTTAATCTGCATTTCCCTGATGGTTAATAATGTTGAATATATTTTCAAGTGCTTATTTGCCATTTATATATCCTTTTTGATGATTTGGTGATTTCATCTCAAAATTATTAACTATTAACATCTGCAAAGACCCTATTTCCAAAACAGATTACATTCTGAAGTTCCAAGTAGCCTTGAATTAGTGAAAGGGAACACTGTTCAAGCCACTACATAGGGTTTGCAAATATTTTCTCTTAGGCTGTGGCTTGTCTTTTCATCCTATTAAAAGAGTCAAAATTTTTTTAATTTTGATGAGTCCAATTTTTTAATGTTTCCATTTATGGACTGCACGTTTGATGTCAAGTTTAGAAACTCTTTGCCTAACCCTAGATACTGAAAATTTTCTCCTATTTATGTCCTAAAAGTTTTTAGTTTTACATTTTACATTTAAGTTTGTGTTCTATTTCAAGATAATTTTTGCATATGGTGTGAGACTTAAGTAGAGGTTCTTTTTATATTTTTCAAATTTTTGCCTATGAATGTCCAATTGCTTCAGGACCCTTTCTTGAACAGGCTACCTTTCCTCCACTGAATTGTTTTTATACCTTTGCCAAGAAATCAGTTGAATATATTTGTTTTGCACTATTTTTGCATTCTCTGGTTGATTCCATTGATCTTTGTGTCTCTCCCTCCACCCAAACCACACAATCTTGGTTACTGAAGCTGTATAATAAATTTTGAAGTTTTGTAGACTGATTCTTCCC